AAAATAAAAGTTCTTCTCAACGAGATACTTAGCTAACACGCTTCTTTTTTAAAGGAGGACTTTGATTTAAGGTTCTTGTGAAAGTCAGGCACCCCTATAGGGTGGAGGCTGTGGAGACCTTTGAAATGAGCAGCTGCCCTTACATCGGAACATGGACGCATCCGTGTCCTTCAGACAATGACTGGATTCAAGAAAATGCCCTGAGTTACCCTCCTGACCCATGCAGACCCTCTCCACACTGAGACTGTTCATGCTTTAGGCCTTTTTAAACTTCATCTGCTTTCACACATCTTCCCTGGGGTTGGGAATATGTGTGGGATTTTGACTTTCAAAGGATGGGATGAATAGAAGATCGGAATAGAATATTGTACAGGCACCCAGCTGGAATATGAATGTCTGTATTATAGAAAAAACTGAATTGTTCAGATCACATGGATAGGATAATCTTAAGTTTTTTAATACTTTCTATCACCTTTAAAAATGCAACTTTAACTTTCATCTGAATTAATTTCCAAACTGAGTGCAGTATTTCCATAACTTGTCTATTTCTATATTATCTCGCTATCTCGCTGGAAGAAAAGATGCTGAAATGTAATCTGGCTTTTTGACAGTTTCATGAATTCAGTGGAGGGGAAATCAAGTTATATAATATGAGTGATGGGTATGTGAAATTTCATCCAAGAAAATAGATCTCCTACCACACATATTGAGATCCTGTAAAAGAAAAAAAAAAACCTCTCCATTTTAAAATAAAATCCATCTAAACTATCTCTTTACTTGGCTTTGGTAAATAGTCTAAAATGTAATGTACTTCCCTAATGCAAGTATAAAATGTAATGGTTCATGAAAGCTAAATAAAAGGACCCCCAAAACTTAGCCTTCAGTCTTAGACCTCACCATACTACAATACGGCCTCGCGGCTGCCCCTCCCCTGTGCTCTTTTCCAGCGCCTTGTACTTTAACCTGCTGGGCCTCTGGATCATTCTGCTGTGTGCAGTCTTCTCTGGGTTAATCATGTATTCCCACTTCAAAGACTGCGACCCTTGGACTTCCGGCATGATCTCCGCACCAGACCAGGTATGAGTTGTCGGGTGCCGTGGGTAATGTCCAGCCCCTCACGTGTTCCACTGCGTCTCCAGCCAGGTCTCCAACCCCAAGGACTTGGCTTCTTTCCTCTGCTCTTTAGCAATGTTTCCTGTACCGGGTTGTGTACCATGCCGGGGAGTGTGTGTAGACCAGGAGCACACCTCCAGGGTTGGGGCGCTGGCCGGGGAGCTGCTGCCTAGCAAGCGTTAGGGACTGGGTTTGATCTCCAGCATCACAAGGAGGAAAAAAAGGAAAAAAAGGAAATGAAAGAAAAAGATACCTAGCTTTGTCTCTGAGACTGGGCCTGAAGGCTGGTCAAGGTGGGGAAGAGCAGCAGGTAGGTTAGAGCCCATAGCTCTTTCTACAAACTTCAAGGTTGTGATTATGCTGTAATCTAATGTTGAATAAATGCCCCCCCGCCCCGGTCCATAATCCCTGTGTTCTTGTCTTCCCAGCACAGCGTAAGCCTCTCCTCACCGTCCTGTGTTAAATGTGGTTTTGACAACTCCCTCTACAGAGTACGTGCTCTGCTCGGGAGGAGCAGCCCTCCCCTTCTCCCAGGGCCTGCAGCTCTGCAGCTCCGTCCTGTAGACCTCCTTCCCCACACACCTGGCTACAGACAGGAGCAACACTTCATTCCCTAAGACACATCTTAGGCATTTTTTAAGGCTTTGAGTGCTAAATTCAGAGTAAACAGATAAGAAATGGTACCTCCTGTTGCTAAAGTTGTATCTCCACATTTTAGATTCTGCTGAGAAAACCATTGATTCTCTCTCCTACTTCTCTGCTTCCTCCTTAGCTGATACCATATTTTATCATGGAGATATTTGACACAATGCCAGGACTTCCAGGACTTTTTGTAGCCTGTGCTTTTAGTGGAACTCTGAGGTTAGTATATTGACAACACGATGATGATGATGATGATGATGGCTGTAATAATCAACAACCTCCTGAGCACTTGCTGTCAGCCTCTGTACTGAATACTTTATTTATACTTGCTTACTAGTTGTTGCACAGCATAAGGGACTGAAACTTCACTTATATGTCATCAGTTCAGCATAAGTGGCTCAAGGCAGGACCAAGACCCAGTAGGGGTGACATTAAATCCTCAAGTTCCAAGCCTGGCATCGCTGAGATGGATGGACTCCCGAGGGAGCCCCACACCCCTTACTAAATGCGCCTCCTTTCCAACACTGACTTGAAATGCTACTCTGATTCCATCTTACATGCTTCTGTGCATTTGAGAAAATTTTTAGGATTCACTTTTATATTTGTTTGATCTGTTGGTCTATAGCTATGACAATCCCAATAATTTAATGACCATGCTTTAAAATATGATCTGATTTCTGAGAGGTTTGTACCTGTGCATTAGTGTTCTTTTGCAGAATTTTCCTGACATCTAGATTTTCTTCCCCTTCATTTTTTTTAAGTTGATTTTTTGAAGCTTGATTCTATTGAAATAATGATATTTGTAAGTATTTTGATTTGTTCTCATCTTTAAAAAAATACTTTCTATGTTTATTATCTTACGTAAATGTACTTTAAAAACATTGAAAAATCAATTAAAATGATAGTAGAAATAATTGTTTTAATATGCAATTTAAAGCAGATTGTTGTTGGGCTGTGATTTTGAACCTCTTGAATTTAACACAGTTGTGTATTTTACTATCTAAAATCTTCCTAGTCTAGAGGAGGAAGTAAATAAGCTGTCGTGCTTTTCTGCAAAGAAAGCCCCATCTTTCAGGTATTCTGAGAAAGTTCCAGGCCCAATAAGCCTGAACTCTGTTTGGAAAGTCAGACAGGAACATCAGAGCTTTTATGCAGTTGTGGTTTGGCTGCTTCCCAGTCCCTCCCGTTTGCCTTTCTCTCTCACTAATTCCATCCCACCCGGCTGGCTTCAGGCTGGAGAAGCAACATGCTCCTCTCCATCTTTAGGCATTGCACGTAATTTTCCCTTCGCCCTTGAGATCTTCCCAACTCTGCATGGCTGTTCCATGCACTATTCTTTAGCTGTCACCTCCCAAAGGGGACTGTTCTTACTGTTGGTTTGGGCCTCTGCCATGCTTTTATAACATCTCGTTATTTTCCTTCATGGTCTCTACTTCCCGCCTCCTTTGCACCCTGAGCACACACATGCAATCCTTCTGCTGCACCCTGCTAACTCATAGACTTGGTAAGGTGAATTAATGGGAATCAGACATGAAGCCTAGCTTCTTCATGGGCTTGTGGCAGGATGGAAAGAGCTTAGCACAGAAGCCTGCCACCTGAGTGGCCAGCTCTCGGGGTGACCCTGCAGCTCCTCTGTATGCCTAGAGCCCTGGTGGTCCCGGGACAGTGAGGCAGGCTGCTGGCTCAGCCTCACAGGGTTGGGACCAAGTTCTTCTCTCCCCTCCCTGTAGCACCGTGGCCGCCAGCATCAATGCCTTAGCGACTGTGACCTTTGAGGACTTTGTCAAGAGCTGCTTTCCGCGCCTTTCAGACAAGATGAGCACCTGGACCAGTAAAGGCTTATGTAGGTACAGCCTGTGAGCCTTCCCTTTGCTGTGCTGAAGCGTAGGTGGGGAGCATCTCAGAGCCCCGCCTGTGCCCTCCAGGGTGCAGTCACAAGTCCAGAGGCACACCAAGTCACAGGAGGGCTGCACGCACACGTCCCCAGCTATCACTTCTCTCCGCACACTCTGATCTCCGCAGACACTCTGTGCTCACGCGCTCTCCCGACCTGTCAAGTCTGGCCCTTCCCATTACTCCGGGTTGACCATTAGTCTCTGCTCAGTACGGCCCGCTCTCTGCTAATAAAACCCAACTTCTTTTCTTAGAACTAAGCTCCCGATAATCGAAAATCTCTCTTCAAAGAATAATCGCGCTTTTTATAACAATAAATTTGCATAACACGATTCTAATTACTGAAGCACTTATCATATTAAACTGTAATTTTACAAGGTGTGCTTTTTTAAAGTACAAACAAATTACACGCTTTGGTTACATAATATAGAAAAATGCAGGTAATTTGAGAAGATATACTTTGGGAATAGAATTATATATATAATTATATATATAATTTTATTTCTGGTTATTTTGCCTTGGGAAACTATATTGAACGTTTTTCTGTGTTATTATGCATTCTTTGAAAATAATTGTATTTGAATGATTGAATAATATTCTATGAAATAACCTTTTTGCTTAGTCTCATGTTACTGTTACCTTTTTAAGTTCTTTTTAAAATTTTTCATAGCACTGTGATTAAAAACTCAAATACACAAATCTTTGACTCTATCTGTATGACTTTTCCTCAGTGTGAGCTTCCAGAAGAACTTCAGGCTAAACAGCACCAAGTCCTTGGCATTTCCAATCCTTAGTAAGAAAGAGAATTCCAGCAGGGAGAATCAGAGATCACGTGTGGCAGCAGGGAGCACTGATATATTTCATTATGTGACTTAGTCGGATTTTTACAAATTATGCAAATTAATGGATAAATAACATCAAACTTTTAACTTACTTTTTGATTTATCATGCACTTATATGTTTTTCAGATGGTAGGTAACATTTGTATTTTTGTGACAAATCTGTTTATACTTTCTGTTTATTTGTTGATGGGCTAATAGAAATTTTCTTGTGTATAAAATTTCTTTACATATGAAGAAATAAAGGCCTTCATACGTCTGTGGCAGAATGTCTCCCAGCTTACTTTTTTAAAATGTATTTTTGATATGCTGAAATTTTAATTTTATATTTTATCAAATATATGTATCATTTCTTTTACTATTTCATTATTTATACTTACAGATTTATTCCATTGAAGTCTTAGTCATGTTTACTTATATTCATCCTACATTGCAAATAGTTTTTTATATTTTATATTTAATATTCAATATATCCATATTATTTGCTTATGGTTTCAGATAAAGATTTCAGTGCTTTTTCCCCTTAAAATGCCAATTTTCTTAGCACTATTTTACCATTATTCCTCACTGTTTTTTAATATTTTTGTTAATAATAATACAAAATATAAAGATCTTTGTTCTGTTGTATATTTTCCTTAAATTATTTATCAATTTCAGGACTAGCGCCATTGTTTCATATTATAGTTCTGTAGTATTTTAAGCTATCTGGTAGACCAACTTACCACTTTTAGTTTAAAAATTCAAATTCTTTCTATTGATATCTTCACTTATAAATAATTCTTTGGCTCTCTGTGCCTAGTCACCCTTCTAAATTAACTATAAAACAATGTAGTGCATGTGACCTGTCTGCTGCGTCCCTTCCCTTTCCACGGCACCACCTTAGACTTAAAAACGGACTTGGAAAGAGTGGACAGGCTTGCGCGCTTTCTGCTCAGCAGTAGCACTATTTTTTTCCATTTAATCATACATTTTTCTAACTGACATTTGGATCAAATGCCTGTTTTCCTTCTTCAACTCCTCCTTTCCTCTGCTCTTCTCCTCCTCCCTCTTTCTTTCCTCCTCCTCCCTTCCTTGTTATTATGATAAGATTGCTTTCCCCATAATATCTTTTATTAGCAATAGAGGGAAGCTTTTTTGTCATTTCCTTAACTCCTATTGATTCACAAAATTTAAATTGATTTTTATAGGAAGCATGGTTATTGGAGGTAAATATTAATAGTTGTATCATTATTTACATTTATTTATTTATTTGTTTGTTTAGAGACGGGGTCCCATTATGTTGTCTAGTCTGGTCTCAAACTCACAGTGCTGTTGTCAACTCCCTAGTAGCTAGGATTCCTCTTGTTTTTTATTTTTCTTCTAATATAAGTTGCTTGTGGTATACATCCTCCACTTTCTCTTTCTCTTTTGTGATGACATTATTTTTCCCTATGCACTTAAAGAACGTATGCTTTTCTCAGGGTTATTTTGAAATAAAAATCTAAATCTCTTAATAATAATAATTTTACTTCAGCTATTATGTTTTGTTCTTTATATTTTATTTTAAAAATTAACTAGATGGCCAAGTTCAAAAGACCTCCCCATGAACGCATATATCTCACACAAGTATTCCCCACTGGCGGCTTCCTACACTTGCTTTTAATCCATGCATCCAGCTCTCTGTCCACCCTTTAACCCGTCACACTTTGGAATCATTTAAAAGTAATTGCAGAAATCTCCACATTTCCCCTGATCATTTTAGCATGCAAATTGTTGACAAAATTCAGTATTGATTTCAAGTTGTTTATAGGAATTTAAAAAAAATGTCACCTAGCACGAAATGAACAAATGCTAAGTGTAGCTTTGCTCATTTCGTCAAATGATTTTACCTATGTAATCCAACTATGTTTCCAGATATAACACATTGCTGTCACCTGAAACTCCTGCGCCATTTCTGTGAATTGTCTCCTCCCATTGCTGTCTGGAAGCAGTATGTTCTTTTCCATTATAGACTAATTTCACCTATACTCAAATTTCATACACGTGGAATCACATAGTACCCATTCTTTCTTTGTAAAAAAAAAAGGACTCATTTCACAGCACAATGTTTTTGAGATTTATATTATACATGTTGCTTTCCATATCCAGTTCTTTCCTTTTTACGGCTTATTACGCCATATATGGATATCCCAAATATGAGGACATCAGGGAGCTACAAGCTCTGTTTGTGTTTTTCTATTTATCTATAGCCAATCCTCAGTATCCACAAGGTATTAGTTCCAAGGTACACTGTGGATATCAAAGTCCAAGGACACCCAAGTTCCTTGTATAAAATGGAGTAGTATTTGCATACAACCTCTGGAATCCTATAATATACTTTCAATTATCTGAAGATTACTTGTAATGCATAATACAATGTCCACACTGGGTCAATAGCTGTTCTGTGTTCTTTAGGGCATAAGAATAAGATAGAAGTCTGTACATGTCCTGTACAGATACATTTTTAAAAATATCTTCAGTCCATAGTTGGTTGAAGCTGTGGATGTGGAACCCTGGGTATGAGAAGCCAGCTGTACTTCTATTGAGGGACCTATGCAGTTTCAGTTTGAGGTCATTATGAAGACTTGTGCAAGTCTTTTTGTGAACATATTTTCATTGCTTTCTGGTAAAATGCTAGAAGTGAAATTTCTCGAAACATCATGGTTTTTAATTTCCTTGTAGGGATTTCTTACCACACCTGGAGACACCATCATCTAAACTTTGTGTTGTTACAGTCTCTCTTGCTTTTAAAAAAATCACATTTATTTTCCCTTAACTTATAATTCCTTGTTTCATTGAGCTCAGGTATCCTTCCATCATGCTGAAATTGCCAAATTTAAATGGTGTTTTTTATCCTGGTTCTTTATTGAATTATTCCCAGAAATTAGACTCTTTATTTGAGCTTTTAGACTAATACATTCATTCCCTTCTTGGCCTCATTTTCTCATGGAATATAGGTAGAAAAGGATCAAGGGATGCCAGCCACAGAGCTGCTAACTTGCACCAATTAGCTGATAATTGCTTTTCTCTACTCACAATCTGAATTCGCACTAATGGCAGGTGGGAGGAGGGAGTTTTTCTTTCCCATTTTTCTTTCTGTTTGTGGGGAGATACACCCTGGGTCTCAACAGAACCTTGTCTTTGTCACTTTTCTCATTGCTGGGACACAATACCTGACACCCACAACGTAAAAGAGAAAGTTTATTTTGGCTCACAGTTTGTAGAGGTTTCAGGCTCTGAGGCACAGGCACGGTGGCATGGCAGGGGGGCCTGGGGAAGGAGAGTGGTCAAGGGAAGAGCCACGGAGGGAGCAGAACCCTTTAGGCCCTGCCCCAGGGGCCACCTTCCCACCAGGCCTCACTCCCTAATGACTCCCTAATAACAGCTATCAGCCCCATAAGGCGATTCCCTTCCAATGGTCCACTCTATGACTGCCGGAGTCTCTTGGGGGACATCTAGAACCACAAAACTCCCAATTTTCCCCAAAGCCCCACCTTTTCAGACTGCTGAAATCAATTCTTTATCAGTACAAAATAGCAGGAAGCCTAAATTGAAGGAAGACTGCACTAGAATCTCATTTGAACAGATAATTGCTGGTCCAGCAAGAGGACAGACAGCAAGAAAGAGAAAACCTCTTTTCTTCCTTTCTTCAGGCAGACATTCCCTTTACACGAAGCAATGCAGCTTCAGGGAAAATGCTGTTTCCTTCAGCCTGACCCATGCATTTAAAGATGAAGGGAACCATGTTGGAATTTTGACAGGTGTTTGTTGGTCATACTTGGTTTATGGTGCTACTGTGAGCATCCTTTTTTTCTTTTGCTGATCGAGAAGTTAGAAAATGTGGCATCAAAAGTTGCTAGCCTGATTTCAAGAGTGAGTTTATCACAGTAAATATCTGATCAGTTAACATATGCTAAACTGGAAATGAAATAATAATACAGAAACACCAAATACCTGGCACACAGTGGCAGGCACTCCTCTGGTTAGAGTGATTCGGGGAGATTGTAGGATGAGCTAATTGACGGTGTGTAGTCCTTTGTTAGAACAGGAGCTCCTTGGGGTAGGAATCAAGTTCTAACTTAATAGCACTGATGTCTGGTTAGGCTCCAGTGTTTGGTCAGAATTCAATACAGCTGATCCAGTCATCACACTGGAACCTGAGCCGGGCATTTAGCTGGTGTGGAGTTCAGAGAGAATGGACAAAGCAGGTTTCTGTCCATTTCTGTCACTGTGTCTCTCTCTGTCTCCACATCCTTGTCTGCCTCTCCCTTCTTAGTTTGTGGTTAATATGGCAATTCAAGATGTACTTAGATGTACTTCTAAAATGACTTTGAAACAAAGATGTATAGAAGTCAATGATAGTTTTAAGAGATCACTGAAAAGCAGAAATCATCTTTAAAAATGACTAAAAATATACACTGCCTCATTAAGTGAGCTCTTAAGCTCGTTGAATGTAATAACTGAAGTGCCCATGGTGAACAAAGCCATCGTTATGTGGTATAACTAAGGACACTAATGAATAGAACACTAAAGGGAAAAACCAGCAAAGCTTTCCAGGTTTGCAAACCTATGAGGAGAATGTGTAGAATGTTATTTAGAAATTTCAAGGTGAAAATCTGGCTGAATTCCAAGGAGGTTAGTAGCTTCCTTCCCCTTGTAGCTGGTGGGCTGTTGACCTGGAATGAACTCCCACTTGTTCAGCCTGGATTTGCTTGGTGCCTTGGTTCCTTTCCACATTTTCCTGTTGCATCCATGTGACAAGTTTCTTCTGAAGCCTTGGAAAGAAGGTCCTGTTCCTTTTCCCTGACCTGAGGGCATGTGCTTGCTGGAGAGATGTCCTAAGTGGCCCTCACGAGCTTGAGATGGCAGCACACTGAGCTGGCTCCCCACTGCTGTCGCTTGGGATGAGGCACAGTTCTGCTTGGGGCTCAGCGGATGCCTCCAAGTCAGTCCTCAGGGGAGATGTAAGCTCACGTATCTTCTGTCTTCCAGGTCTCCTGTTCGGCATTCTGTGCACCTCCATGGCCGTGGCAGCCTCCCTCCTAGGGGGTGTCGTACAGGTAAAATGGGAGCGAAAAGTCACAGGGTCACACGTCGTTTTCCTCCCTCTCGTCTCATGTGTGGTCTCCGTCTCCAAGCCCCAGTGCCCCCATTCATGCCTACTGGGTCCAAACGAGACAAACATGTTAAATTTCAACAAAATGGCTTTCAGAAACCATTAAAGCTACTAATGGGATAATGACGAAGTACATCATGCTAAAATTAGAAGCCCTTTAAATCCTAGGAAAACCATTCAAAATAGAAGAAAATAAGAGCCATTTGCAAGTACGCTGTCTTTGTGTGCTTAGGTACAGGCTTAGATGTACTACCTGGTTAGTCTTCATCTCTTCTGTAAGAAAAGGTATAACTGATGCACCAATGTGTAGATGAAGAAACTAAAAATTGTCACCCAGGCCCATAATCGAAGAGTAGCAGAACCAGGATCCGCCCCGCCTCTTGTTATCCAATCTGACCTGCTTCTCTTACATCCAACTCCCAGCTCCGTATAATGTCAGCATCAGAAGGAGCCCCAGGGATGTCCCTTAAACACCGCCACTTGCAGCTGATTGCAGGGAGCAATGAGGACACCTGCTCAGCCACCCTCTGGGTGGCTCAGGCTCCACCCCACCCTCCGGGTCCCTGATTCTCCGACTCACACATCACCACTTATGCAAATCTTTACATTCTACTTCAACCCCCTGGGTCAATCTTTTCTGCGTCTTTGTGAAATTTGAGCTCCTTTTAGGCATTTTTGGCATTGAATAGGGCTTTCAACAAATGTGGCTTGGTTGAAGAAACAAGTCGGAGTGGATAGCAATCACCTAATAGTGAATACTAGTGGCAATTTATAGAATAGAATCTATAAATTCCTTGACTACTAGTAATACAGCAATGCAGTTACTTATAGAATGTTAGTAATTATAGATTTCAGGTCACCAGTAATAGCAAACAAGGAATTCATGGAATGGCATTGAGTTTTCAGAGCAGACCCTACCTGATGGCTGCTTACACAGGTTTTATTATTTCCCTTTTAAAGTTCAAGATCAAGTCTGGGAAAGGTAAGTGATGTGATAATTTGCTTGTCTATATGAGAACTTTTGGCATGAGACATCTGACATGCTCTTTAATAAGCTAGGTCTTACCTTGTTATTAAAGAGACGTGATAATCTCTTCACAGCATTTGAGGCACTGTGAAAGCTCCTCAACCCCACAGAGGAGCTGGCAGCTTGCTGGGTTTGTCTGTAGTGACCTTAGGAGCCTTTTTAAAGGCTTATTTTCCCAATTTATGGGACTGTATGTCCAAATTTCCTCTGATGCTTTGGGTCTCCTTGCTTTCTCTTTTTCACTGCCATTAGTGTCGACTCTTAAGGGAGTGTCATCCTTCTCCCTGGTGGTAATCGGAGTCACTAAACTGTTACACTCAGAGATATTTGCATTTGTAGCAAGTATGGGGAGAGGACTGGAGGGACACTGCTTCATCAGGTGGGGGCGTGCGGGGAGCACTCACCTCCTTGTGCTGATTCAGGGAGGATCCGGCGCCCCTTTCTTGATTGAATAAAACCTGTGCCACACAGTTCATACAGTGCAGAAGACGCTGGCATGCAAGAGAAAGAACCCGATGTGATTCCACCTCTGAGAGTCCACTCATTTCTCCGAGCTCATCTGACTTTGCTGGGTACAGAAAGACACCTGCAATCTGCCTATTTCATTTTCCAAACAGCTTTGCCCTATTAACGTTCATGAATCAATCCTCGCACTCCGATTTTCCATGTGGAAAAAAAAAAAATGAATCCCACCCCCACAGCTTGAGGAGTAGAGAAAGCCAGGTTGCATCTCATGCTCCCCCAAACGGTCCTATGCTTACGGCGTGGGTTTGTGGGGTTTGGGGTTCATTTTGTGTTGTTTCTGCAGCGCTAAGCTAATGCTTTACCTTAAGAATTTGTCAAATCTGTTCCAGAGAACAACCCACGTGGTGTTCCTGCGCTCAGGGAGCCACTTTCCGTGGTCACAGACTCTGAATCACGCTGCACGCTGCACCCCCTCACGGGTGCACAGCACACGCCAGCCCGTTGCAGGCTCTGGGGAGTCAGCAGTGAGCACGCCTGCCTCATCCGACTCTGTGACCGCGGACCCTTCCTGGGCAGGGTGGGAGGGTGGCATCAGACAGCAGCCTGCACTCCTGTGAACCAGTGATCAGCAGGGCTTCCTCGGGAAGTCATTCTTCCCGAGACGCTGCTGTCCTGAGTGCTACCAGCTGGCTCCTTTCAGGTCTGTGGGGACTTCAAGACATGTCTTTATCCCTTAGAGAGCACTTCTTAGATCTCAGCACATTCCAGCAATCAGAGTGCATGGCTCAGGCATCAGTGCTCAGGAGCAGGGGAGGCAGCAGCAGGAGTACAGAAAGAGAGCAGGGCTCTCCTGAGCTCCAGGGTCAGGCGTTACCTTGTGCCTTTTCTTGGATTCTACACTGAAAATTCACCAGAAAACAACCAAACTCACCTGATCCAAACCAAACCCTCATGAAGGTACTGCAGTGCCCCCTTGTAATGAGAAATGGAGGCACAGGCAGCAGTGGTCATAGTGGTGCTCAAGCTCCAACACAGCCCAACGAACAAACGCCAGACGTGTGTTTCAGCTCTGCCTGTTTGTAGGAATATCACCGATGGGAGGTGAACTTTGAGGAGGAAGCTCACTTAGCTGAGCTTTAAGTCTTCCTCCAAATAAATGTGAAAATGGCATGAAAAGGGTAAAGTCAAAATGTTTTTTTCTATACTACAGAAATATATATATAATATATTTGAATATGTGTGTGTATACACACGTATTTAAATGCAGAAACGCTTGTATTCTTTTTTCCCTGAAATCATGTACAGGCTTTTCATTCACCCCTGAAGCCTTCTGCTTAACAACCTTGTAAGAGTGCATCAATTTTTTTTCCCATAAGGGGAGATAAATATGTTTACTATTCTACTATTCTATTGACTTGCCTATATAATAGCTTATAAATTCCAAATTCAGCAACCACAGGAATTATGAATTAATGTTATCATCAAACAGCAGAGGAAATGCCAAGAATATTAGGGTCAAAGCTGGGGAAAGGAAACCTTGAATCTCACCTACATCTGTCATGTCAAAGGCAGATCAGAGGCACTGAGTTCCATAAATTTAACCTGAAAATTAACAATCATGACAATGCAGTGGTGCCCATATTTCTAGACCAAAGCACTTATACAACAGCTGGAGGGGACTAGAGGACCCCTAGCCTTGTATATTTGTGTACAGAAAGAAGCCTACTCGAATGAATTTGAGTGACTAATAGAACGTTTACCAGGTCCTAGTGATGCGTGGCAGGTGATAATTAGAGGGCAAGTGTTCTGACCAGAATGACGGGAAGGCATAGGAGACACCGAGAGTAGTGTGTGTGTGTATGCACACATGCTTATCTGTATGTGTATCTATGCATGTGTATTTTCCAAGACTCAGAAGGCAATGGAATAACTTAGAGGCTGAGAGGTATGGAAATGTGTTTCTCCAACTTTCTCAGTTTCCCAAAAAGATGGAACGAAAGCATGAGAGAAAGAATGGGACACGAGGCGTCTGCTGGTGCTCCCACTGTGCCACCCTCCCACCCCAGCCCCCCGCCCAGCATCCTGGGGTTTTGTGGATGTGATGGCCAGGGTTTGGTAATAGACAGTTATTATCTTCGAAGTGTTCAGATTGTTCAAGCTAAATTAAAGCCACTGATACTGTGTGAAATGAGAAATGCAAGCTAAAGATGTATTCATTTAGTACAGTATATTTAAAAACATCTTCTCTTTTTTTTTGGTGATGTTAGTGATCAAACCCAAGGTCTTCTGCATTCTAAGCCTGGACTCTACCACTGAGCTGTATCCCCAGCCAAAAATCCCTTTTTGCTAAGGTAAAAAAAAGACAAGTCAGTTAATTCCATCTTGAGTGAAATCCAATTCGCCTGTTTCCCCTTTACAAACACGCACACACACACACACCCCTGTACACATACACAGGCACAGGTGTGAGTGTATAGGCTTTCTTTCTTTTACACAATTGTTACTACTGGACCCACAGCTGGCTCACGGAAAGCAGGGAGCTGATAAATGGTGTGCTGAGGACAAGGGCTTGTTGTCACCCTAGGTCCACAGTGGGTCGGTCCCGGGGGCCCAGAGGCAGTGAGAGGAGACTCATGGGTCGCTTTGTCCTGCAGGCTTCCCTCAGCATCCACGGCATGTGTGGGGGACCGATGCTGGGCTTGTTCTCCCTGGGACTCGTGTTCCCGTTTGTGAACTGGAAGGTAAGGACCCTGCGCTCCCTCACCGTTCTCAGCTTCCCAGCCTGATCCATGGCCTTTCCTTCCCCTCTCCTCCCAACTGGAAAGGCTATTTGTCTTTGCCAGGAAGTCTTCGATAGAATTTAAACAAGACCAAATCCTCCTGTATCTGACTTCAGCAGAGTCATTTTAGAAGCAAAAAACAGGGCCAGGAATTTAGCTCAGTGGTTCTGCCACCTGCCCAGCAAGTGCAAGGTCCTGAGTTCGATGCCCGGTACCAAAACAGCAACAACAACAACAACAACAACAACAACAAAAACCAAGAAACAAAAAACAAAGAGATGTTCATGAGCTACAATGTGTCACAGCATCCATCAAAACTGACTCTTTAAGGTGACATTAACTCTTCTCTAAATTCAAGGCTCACAAAATGAACTTTAAAAATGAAGCAGATTCAGAAATAGTCTGTTAAAATACAATTTTAAAAGTTCAAATTTTGAAAATCCATGTAAATTTCATTTTTTTCTCCAGTTATCTGAAATAACTAGTTTTATTATACTAATTGATTAATTTGTATAGGGGTAAAAGGACAAGCTGGGTTCCTGCTGTCCCTGGGACCTCACTGTGCTCGACTGGCAAGCTAATGAATGATATGTTCTCAAGCAGATGTTGGTTAGATGACTGTGTAGCATGTGAATCAAAACGAACGTTTATTTGGAAAGGTAATAGAGCAATATTTTAGAAACATTTAAAGCATTATAATTTTCCCAATCTAACAAAATCGTCACCTGCCTACCTATGTGTATGTATTTCAGAAAGTCTTTAGATTCTGTTTATTTATGTATGTACCATAGGGCTCCCCATCCTGCTGAGCCAGCTCATGTAGCTGGGTGTCTGCAGCTCCCTGGCTGTCACGAAGCTCTTCCTGATGAGTCTTCTGGGGCTGGGGAGAGGATGGCGTTTGTACCACGTTGGTGGCTGTCCTGTTAGGGTTAGGGTCTTAGCTCCAGGGATTTTGGTGTCCTTGGGAAATAAGAAAGGCAGCCTATGACCAAGCCCCCACAATCTGCAGCAGCTTCCCAAGATTTTAGTGGGTGGTATACTTTAGTTCTAGCAAACTGTATTCTCGATGTGGTGTAAGAAGAGTTCTCCGCTGAGACACGCAAATACAGCAGTATATCAAACTCAGATCCCAGGGTCCAAATCCTCCCTGGGAGACAGCCAGCCTCGTTTGTCCCCTGCTGTCTGTGAGTGCTTCTGTGCTACTCTGGGACAGCTCAAACCTAGTGACAGACATCGTGTGGCACACAAAGCCGAAAACACCGGTCTGGCTGTTTATGGCAGGAGCTTGCACCCTTCCGGTCAAAGTCAAGGCACAAGTATTCAAGTCACTCACATCGCATTAATTTTCCCAAACAGTGGAGAAGGCCTTCTGGTGCTTTTACCAAGGATTCTTTTTCCTCTGTATCATGGAGAAGCCAACACGTTGTTTTCTCTCCCACAGAAGGCCCAGCTTTTAGCAGAGACCAGGGGCAGCAATATTTAAACTCAAACAAAAACCTACAAAATTTGAGAGGGAGGGGACTTGTGAGCTTTTCTGTGGCTAGTTGGTAACAAAACATGACCACAGAATCTCTGTTCTCTGATATTTTCCTCAACTTCTGCGTTTCTTCGGCAAGGAATGAGGACTCCTCGTCTCGTTATTCTCTCTGCAGACAGCTTTGCCCGGTCTCACTAGCGCCTGTCTCTCTTTCCCTCATCAAGGGCGCACTGGGTGGCCTCCTCACCGGAATCACACTGTCCTTCTGGGTGGCCATAGGGGCCTTTGTTTACCCTGCGCCAGACTCCAAGACTCGGCCTCTGCCTTTATCGACAGAGCAGTGTGTCCCGACAAACATGACCACATCAGCACCTGCGGTGCTAGCCAGCAGGTGGGTTGACTTTGAAGGTGACCCCCAGCGCAGGGGTAGGCGGCAGGTTGGAGGGAAGCGCATCGCTCTGGGATACTGTGATGACAGCTACCATGGAGGCCACCGAGAGTCACACTGGGGCTTCAGGACCAACTTCCCGCGGGGGCCTCTTCCCGTAACAGGTGCACGAGTGAACTGGGCAGAGGAGTGCACAGAGGGATGTGTGCAAAACAGACAAAAATGAGTAGAGCGTAGAAAATAGATGTGGGGGTCTGAGGGCCAGAGTGTCCTAGAGGAGAAAGGATCTCAGAAGAGATGCTTTGGGAGCAACGAGGAGAGACAGTGTGGCTGTGGATTTAGGGGCCCTGCTGTGAGCCTGTGGTTTGATGACTGCATGAGCCCAGGGCTTAACAAAAGAGTTTCCATCTAGTTCGGACAGGGAAAATGATCAAAGATACCAAAATGTAGGAGACACTGTGGTGTAGGGAGGGAGAAGACCATTGACTTTGAAAAAAGAAAATAGTCCTGGACTTGGATTTTGGTTTTACCGTTTACCTACTTTCTATCATGGACAAATCAGCAGCTTTTCACTCATGAAATTCTTGGAGTTTTCGACTAAAGCCTAAGGATATTAACATCTAATTCTGTAAGTTTCATGAGGACTAAATGGTACATAAATTATATGTAATCGTACCTATACAAATCTTATAATCTATATGATTATTTTGTTATACATATGGGAAATGCAGGATTTGTGGCCCTTCCTTGGATTCAGGCAGCCTTTTTCTGGTTCTCGTCAATACTTCCCTGAACTGACTCATGTCCTCTGTTTCCAGGCTTCTAAAAAATGCCAGCTAATTTCACAAATTACATTTATGATGAACTTTTTAGCCCTGGCGTTTCCTCTTTTCCATTGTCCTTGTCATTCTTGGGATTATGCCCATCACTGTGAAGCCCAGGAAAGTGAAATTATTGTATTTTCCTTGCCCTGACCCCTTCTCTCTTTCTCTTTTCCTTCTAATCCATCGTAGCCGAAGTGGTCACTTGGTGAGTTACCTTGAAGCGCTCACCTGAGTCATGACCACCACCCTGATTTCACTCGAATGCTCCAAGTGCCTGCAGCAGAAGGACAAACTCTTCACCCTGGAACAAAATACCTTTCATAGCCTGAGACTGTCCAATGGCTGCAGTTTTTCTGACCTAGCTTCTGCTTCCTTTACCCTCTTGGATCCACTCTCTTACCTTTAAATCTGTAATCAAGATCTTGCTTTTAAAGGAATGCCTTTCAATCCTTCTTTCTACTCTCTCAGAATCCATTCCTCTTTTAAGAGCCAGATTAGGACCTCCCTTTCTCCATAAGATAGATAGTGACTTGTAATTCAAAGATTTTCAGGATTTGAAAAGAATTGTTCTAAACCAGCTAGCCTTCCATTCTTAAAACTTTTCTATAACATTCACATTCTGAAGAGCTAGTGGGAAATGACCAGCAAAATAGAAGTCATTGGCTCCAGTGGTAGCATGTGGACTGCCTGTATATGTGTCCCTGACTGAACTACATGACTGTTTCTTCTTATATTTTCTCCTCTTCTCCCTCTCCTTTGCTCCTCTTTGCTCTCTTCTCTCTTCCTCTGTAATCATGTTCTTCTGTGATTTCACTACACAATAAACTCCTTGAAGCCATGTGTATGCCTATATGTTTGTAGAAGGGAAACTGGATGAAGAAAACAAAACAGATTTAACTTTCTTCCACTCCCTTCTTCCTCACTGGAAATCAGGGTTCATCTTTACCCCCATCCTAGGGCTCACTTTTGTGAGCAGTAAGGAACTCTCCTTACCTAGATGCCACATGGTCCTGCCACGGTGATTCTGAGCCTGGAGAGAGGTCCGTAGGTAAAGCAGGTTCCACAGCATAGAAGAGGGCATCGCTACCACAATTTCACTCGTGTTCTCACTGGGCATCAAATAAGTGGCCATTTTGTTCCCATGGAAAAAACCCCTCTTGTTCATTTGATTAAACAAAAATAAATTAAGCTGCATAGGAACAATTTTAAAGTCCAAAGGGATACCAACTTTGTTTTAAGGCTGTATTAGCTGATACAGCATCTCCTTGCTACCTTCTCCAGCCTTCTCTGTGGACCACAGCGACACATTCAGATGCCTGTGATCGAACCCAGGAGTTTTCAACACTTTTCCATTAATTCTTCACCTGCTCATTGCCTGTCATGCCTGCGGCCTACACTATGAACATTTAAGATTTAAAAGCAATAACAAGAGGGGAAATACATAACCCAAACAAACTAAAACCCACTTTTGCCTGTAGGCCTGGAGTAAAATCTACTTACCTATCCACCCACTGAAATGATGGGATGGAATGTGCACTCCCAAGGCAGTGCCCGTGTAAAACATAGCAGTCAATTTTGTAAATGGCAGGTGAGTCTTCTTCCGGGTCATCTATTTTATAGGTTGGACCACAGCCCTCACGCCTAATACCTGCCAGGTTTTAAAGGGCCATTTTCTTCCTGAGATGTAGAATTAAGCCAACAGCTTTTTGGTTTTGGTCTCCTGGGACCTAGTGACATTACAAAGCGTCATTACTGGAGAAAGGGGGACGTCTGAACTGGTTTCACAGGGATCGACACCTAGGCTGCGAGCATCATTCCTAACTCAAAGTCAAAGATTCCCAGGAATTAGAGTCACACGTTCCTCCTCTTCTGCATGAGACATGTGGAGGACTCCTGGAGCTATATCCTAAGTGGAGAGGCTGCTTTGGGATGCAGTAGGTGGAAGTCAGCATGGAAAGCTGAGCAGGGGTCCTTGCTACCCGGTACAGACCTTCTGTTACTGCGCCTCCACTTTCCTCAGAGCTTTCCTTCTCCAGAAATCTTATACTCAAACCATATCAACCTATTTGTCCTTCCCAGGCCACTTTTCTGTTTCTTCCCTCCTTCATGTACGTCTGTCCTCTTAGGCTGCCCAGTCCTGCCCCTGTCTCCCCGTCTACCTTCGTTTTCTGATTGGCCACTAACAGTTCTTCAGGACTGATCCTGGGCATCAATCCGCTCCACCTGGGTTTCCGTGCTTTCCGAATGCTCTCAGAGTCCTTGTGCCGTCTGCACTGGGCACCATCAGATTCACTTTGTGCTTCTGTGTTGGCTCCTTCATGTAGGTCAATGTCTGTCAAAGTTCCTGGCATTAAATGCACGCTTAACAGATATCTGAGGAATGAATAACACCAAAGGAACAGATGAGCGGTCCTCACTGCACTGCTTATCATTTAATGCATACAGAGCAACTTTGGGATTCACGGCTGAATTACACTCAGTGGAATACAAAACACAGCTTGTCTCCAATCCAGTCATCTTTCCATAAAAACCAAATGGTACAGTGGGAAGCATTGGGTTTTAAGCGATGTGAGGCTCGGAAAGGAATCTGAGCCATGCTCCAGGTCGTGAGGAGAGAACCTCAGGGTGGGAGCTGCTGACACTGCTGTTGTCCTCCGCAGGCCCGAGCTGGCTGACACCTGGTACTCGCTCTCCTACCTGTACTACAGCGCAGTGGGCTGTGTTGGGTGCATTCTTGCTGGACTGCTCATCAGCTTCGTGACAGGTTGGTTACTGGATTCCTTTCTTTGGGACCAAAGGAGACAGAGACTACTTCCTGCACTGAGTGAGGCTGCTGTGTTAATGTTTCGATTACAGATCTACCCCAAAAAGTCTTCCTGCCAGAAAAATAAGTCTATTCTCTCCAAGCAGATATGCAGATGCTTCTCCTAATCATTATTCAGTGTGATGGAAAATGACAGTGAATGCTTAAGTTTCTTTTTAAAAATTTATTATGGTAAAAGATATGTTACCATTAATCCCCATCAAAATGCTCCCTGTCACTTTGAACATGCTTCTCCCATCATTCTCGCCACTTTCTGAAGCAGCTCTGGAAGTCCTCTTTCTTCAGTGTCTTTATTTGCACTGTCCTGGCTGCCTTCATATCCCGTGCTGATTCAAGACATTTACCTTTCTCGGTCATTCTGACTTTGGGAAAGGGCCAGGACTTATACAGTGCCAGGTCCAGCGAATACTTAGATGAGGAAATTCTACAATGTTGTTATGAGCCTGCCTTCCTGTTGGATGGTGACAGCAGCTACACGCCCTGTATTTTTGATCACCCCTGTTAAGCCATGAAAGAGGGCTGCAGAACTGCTTCAGAAAGTGGCGAGAATGACAGAATAAGTATGTTCAAAGCGGGGGGGGGGGATTTTGGGGGCGCATTAATGGCAATGTGTGTTTCATTGTAATACATTTAAAAAATTAAGTATTCACTGTATATTTTGATCACCAGCTATATCTATCTATATCTGACTATTAGCATATAGAACATATATTAAAAAGAAAATAAGATACTCTGAAATATGCCCCAGAGATCTGAGTACCAAAAATCTTTCATAACCTAGCAATCATGAATGTGAGTTCAATAATAAGAATGTTTCTTTCCTCTGATTCCAGTAAGAGGCCAGAGTTTTTCCCATCACCCCACCCCATCTCCCCACCCCTGGGCTCAGTCTTGGCTGCCGTGCTAGAAAAGTGAACAGTATTATTTCTGCAGTCCATCCGTTTTTGGTGCAGAACTTCACGAAGGGTCAGCATGGGTGCTAGGAGGGCAGGGGATGGAGTGGGGCAGACTAGACCTTCTGCAGTCTTGTCTGGACTTCCTGTTTGGGGGACTAAAGAAATATGGAATGGTTCATGCATTTGTGGACTATGTGGCTGTCTTTCTGGCTTGATTTGGGGTTTACCACAAAAATCTTTCTCCCCAAAGAGATATGTCTACTTTCTCCAAGCTCTCTGGCTTTCTGGAGTGTGTATTGTAGCTAAATAAATTATTGGGGTATTCTACTCTGACTCTATCATTATGAATCCCTAAGTAATGGGCAGTCAGTCTCACTACTCAACCCAGAATCTGCACGGCAGCATTTCTGCTGAAGAGCTACATGTGAGCTCTAGCACCGTGGAATCCTGCGCATGATTTCACTGCTCTTTCACTTGAATTGATAAGGGGATGACAAGGACTAGAGCAGCCGTTTTATAAACCCAGCTTTTCCTAACAGTAATAGTGATGGTGTATCTTTCTTAATGGAAATGGTTCCAGATGAAAGGGGACTTACTGTGTTTACCATGGCCAGCGTGGAGGCTTCCTTGCTGCCAGAGGACAGCCCACTGGGTCTGTGCTTGGGTGTCCCTCCCGACCAGGAGACAGCCTGCTTCAGCTGCCTGCTTCCAACACAAGTGAAGGGCGGAGGCTCCCAGGCTGCTCCTTTTCGGGCTCTGTGTCAGAACCGACACATCCCTGTGTCTGTCTATGCAGCAGCCCGCGTTACACTTCGGGTGAAACATTCTTTGTCACCTTGAGCGTGAACAGCTGTCCTGGTATCAATCCCTGCATTTTCATCCACTCCAAATGTCTCCAGCCTTAGGGAAATAGGCTCATGTTCCCACTCCCCCAGCATTATCCCAGTCTAGTCATGACACTGAATCTTTGGGGAAAATACTGAACCGGGCTGCCAAATGTCCCTGCCTCCTGGTTCCTGTCTGCTCAGGTGAGGTCCTTGTGCTAACCTGACCCTTCCAGTCGAGTCACTAAGGGGTTTTCATAACTATTTCATACTGGCCACCAGATAATGTGTTTTAAACTTATAAAGTATTTAAAGTTTGTAGCTTAGGGCATTAGAGAAGGACAGGTGTCTTTTATGAGCCTGATCCTGTGATGTATTTTACTTTAGTCCTGCTTAGATTTTTATTTTCTTGGGCCAGTGCTGAAACACTTCTGGAGGTCAGCTTTCGTTTCTTTAGCTGTGCTGTCATGGCTGCCTTGATGTTTCCCTTTCACCATCATTTTGGCTTCCGAAAAGAGCTCGAAGCCCCACGGTGCGCGAGTCGATGGATCAGGGGAATGAAGACACGGTGTAATATTTTTACGAGCCTACCTTGGCAGTAGCACCCACATATTTTTGATCACCCCTCTTAAAGACTTCTAAAGCTGCTTCAGAAAGTGCTGAGAATAATGGGATAAGCATGTTTGAAGCAAGGGGAGTGAGTATTTTCAGGGAGATTAATGACAATGGGTCTTTTACTGTAAGAAAGTTTTAAACTTTAACCATTCACTATATATCTTGAACACTTAGTACATAAACATATACACACACACATTTTCTTTTCTAATAAAATTTCATAGACACTGTCTTTTTCTTCCAGGTTTCTGAAATTTTATGTTCTCCCATTAAATCCTTTCCAGTCCTGGCCCACGTTCCTGACTTCCAGCATCAGGGTTTGGGGATTGACACCGTGGATGGGGTGCCCACCAGGGGAGATGGGGAAGGGTGGGCACTGGCCACACTCGGCCCTCGGCCTCAGGACCCTGCAGTTGGCTGTTTCTGCTTAGAGGATGGGGCCTTCTGAGGTGCAGTGCAACAAGGGACCTGTGCTCGATAAGCCTGAACTGTTTTCCTCGGGAAAATCTTCTGCATCTACAGGACATTGTCACATGCCCTTTGCCCTTCTCCTCTGTCACACATTATGTCCATAATCCTACCGTGTATATTCATTAATGATCAATCGCCAAGGTCTCGCTCATGAAATAGACTATAAATCTATAATTAGGGGAGAACACAGAGCTTCCTATTGGAGTTTCATTTTCGTTTTTAACCTTCACTCACGAGCATGATAGCGCTGTCCTTTGTTTTTCTGTCTGCTATCTTCAAAGTCAGTTTTTTTCCTAGAAGGAAACAGAATCTAATTCCATATGGAACAAAGAACCCTTTCTTTGTTAGCAAATCTCAAGTCCTGGCCCTAGAGACAACTGGTCTACATTATTTATTGGAATGTTTGATACTTTAGTGGTGTTTTTAGAGACAAAGGGCTTCTTTGTTTGAAACCCTGGGAATGTTTGTATCTGAATTAAATTCTTCTGACTCAGTCACCTTTGCATAGAAGTTTGAGGCTTTGCAGCTCCTCCGCTACTACACACAGTGCGCAGGAGACAGTTATGCTCCGGCTCTGTCATTAACTGGATCTTCACCAGGTCCCTACCTACCTAGCTAGAGTGATAAATCAGTGTAAAATGTGCCCAGCATTTCCCGCCACTAATGAACACATGTTGTTATCAATAGCAGTAGAGTCTTGCTCCATCCAATGTCTTTGGCAAACTGACGTAATATCAGGGAATATATATTCTTGGAGCCTCAATTTTGAATTTAAAAATCTACGTTATTTTGGTCGCTCACTAGGAATTTGAGAAAAGCCCCACAGATAAGCAGCACTTGCCACACGGCCTCTGAGCAGGGTGTGTCACTCCCATTCCCTTGCACACCAGAGGGACCTTTACATTGCATGGGCTGTCACACTCACAGCCCTCACTGGATGAGACTGAGGACTTGAGCATAGTCACCATCACACCAGAACTGGCAAAGGTTCTGGAGAACCAAGATCATCAGCCTGCAAATATTGGCTTGGGTTTCTCTGTGACTCTGTTCTCTATCGTTGAACAAGTATAATTTAAGAGTAGGAAAAGAGATGTGAAGAAAGTCTAGAGTGTTTGGAGGGACACAAAAGAATAACAGTGTTACCTTGGCTCACGAACTTAATTCTTTCCAGGATTCTGGTCCCAAGCCAAATGGGCCATAAAACGAATCAGATTTCCCCATAAGGTCAGCACTGAACCTAACCACTGAATTTGATGCCATTCATGAGCAATTTGGCTTGGGACCAGAATCATAGAAAGAATTAGGTTTGTGAACTGAGGCACCACTGTATTTGTCCAGGATATCAATGCTGGGATAAAAGGAAGCAGAAAGAGTAAAAATTATCTAATTGTACAAATATTGGCTTAGATGGTCTTGACTATATCTGATCTGGATAAAAATCAGGAACTTTCTTAAATGAAGAAATATAATTCCCCTTGTCTCTTCTGTAGACCTTCAAAAGGTGCAGTAGAGTTTTCCATAGTAATTATTTTTAAGTAAATATGTTGTCTCTGTTTAATTCTAACCTGAGAATTCGTGGGTTTTTAAAATCTGATGCCCATCCACAGATGCAGTTAACCAAGTTCTACTCATTGACGGGGAGGCCATGCTGAGAAGGAAGTTCAGGATCTTGATGCTCAAATCCTCAGTGGATGTCTTGAACCCTCACCCACTTGATTGGTCTCTCCTTTCCTTAACAGGTCTCCAGACAGGTGAAGATATCAACCCACTCTTAATTAGACCAGTGTGCAATTTATTTTGCTTTTGGTCTGAGAAATACAAAACTCTGTGCTGGTGTGGAGTGCAGCACGACTGCTGGCCCGAGCAGGTGAACAGATGTGTGGGCTTCCAAAACAAGCATCGGCCCAAAGGGATTTGCATTTGGCCCATCTGAGCCAGCTGCGAGTGGGGAGGGATCCAGGGAGGGCAGGCAGTGAGTGGCAGGACTCGAAAGAATCAACTTCAGTCATCTTGCTATTGTCTTCTAAGCACATGAGTATGTTGATAGTAAAAGTGCATTTGAGCTGAATGGTTGGCAGTGCAAGGGATCAATTTCCAAAGTCCCTTTTACTTTCTGTGAGGCAAATTCTGGGAAAAATATATACATAAACAATAGGGAAGGAAGAAAGTAGATGACATGACATGGTCTCCTGTAATGGCTAAAACCATGGGCTTTAGGGCCAGACCGCCTTGGGTTTGATCTCAGTGCCTGGCCTTACTTTTTTTGGGTAAGTTATTTAATTTCTCTGAACTCCAGCTTCCCTTGGGAAGATTATGCAGGGTGACGTAGACACAAACATTTCTAGTTCTATGGGGTATGAATATAATACACTGGGGAGCATTGAGAGTCATGGAGGCAGCAAGATGCCGGTAACTCCCCAGCCCCCAAAGCTCATAAGAGGTATGCCTAGGTCAGGCCAGGGTAGAGACTCTCTCAGTGCCACCAGGTTCTTCTGAGCCAGTGGCCACCAGGAGCTGCTTGAGGTGGACAGACTTGGGCTTCCTGACTGAATGCAGGGAGTTAGGGCACACAGATGCAGGCAATGGCGCCATCTATAGCAGGGAGGTGGGCATGTCTTTTGTACAGGACTGGGCTCCTGCTGAAGGGTTCTGAAATGCGTGGGAGGAGGCAGGAAATGAAGAGTGTGGTGGGGAGCCTTGCTGAGAGTGCGCTGGTGACACGAAGCCTCACACCTGCAGGCCCTGGGGAAGCACTGTTTCCGGTCAGGGCTGCAGCTGGGCTTACCCATGTCTGTCCCAGGATTAATGGCAGCAGTGGTTTGGAGGGGTTGTTTTTTGTTTTGTGTTTTCTTTTTCAGCTGAAGCTTATTTTCACTTGTTTAGCATCTGACAGTTTATTCTTTTAGGACTCAGGACTCTTACCCTGTGCATATCATATCCCAAGTTTCTGAGCTGGGAATCGCTCTCTTCCCTAGAAAACACCCTAACAGTATGTGTATGGCGTAAAGCTGAATTTAATGCCACTGAGGAGAGCCCCACCTTGTCCGAGGTTCAGAATGAGGAGCTTAGATGCAGCTGTTTGTAGAGTTTTTGACCCAAGTGATTTCAGGCAGATCTTTCAATGCAGGGCTCCGATTGGTACTGGACAAGCTCATGATTTGATAGTTTAGAATAGGAAAATGTCCCCGGGTGAGGGTCAAAAAGTTAACACCGATTTGGTAAACAAGGAGTTGGCTCCACTGAAAACTCTGCAGGTTTGACTGGGGACGCTTTAAGGAGATCAGCAGTTTATTTTGCAGAGGAGACAGCTGGTTGAGCTGCTATTGTATCAGAGGTGTGTAAGTTTCTTTATGCAGCACAAGATATTGTTAATGTTCAGCAGGTTGTTGTTTTTTGTTATTATTATCATTAAAATGATAACTATGGGTTATCAGAGGTATGCTTTATGAAGAGCCTTGGCCAGATTGTCTCTTTCACCTTTGTGTTTATCCACCTGTCTTTGTAGGGGAGCCCTAAGGACTGTTGGGAATTCATCCAGACTGTCTCGTTAACATCTGCCTTCCTGTTTTCCTCAGGATAACTGTGAGAATGGCAGTACCTGGAAACATGGGGCAGAATCTGTGCTCCACAATGGACTCAGGGGAGAAAGCCTGGCCCATGCACCAGGGTACAATCCCAAGGACAAAAGCTACGACCATACGGCGCTGGAGAAGATAACCCATTTCTAGGACAATGCACGCATCGGTGTGCACACTCACGCACACGCCGCACATAGCTCTCTTGCCTACTGTTAGTAGACTTGTCCAGTGGTCATGGTTAGGAGGCAGATTGTTCAATAACTATTTAAATACTTACTTATCCAAATAAAATGCCGCTTTCCCGGGATCGTCTTTGGAAAGCCCCACATTCCAGGTGAGAAAAATCAGCCCAGCCTTAAGGGCCTGATGACTTCCTTCTCGAATAAATCAGGACTGGACTTAATCAGTCAGAGTCAAAATCTCTTGTTTTGTGATAGGATGAACCATTCATTTGGTGTTTGTGGGGTTTTTGTTTTTTGCTTTTGTTTTGGTGCCCGAAATAAGCACTTGCTCTACCTCTGAGCTCTACTCCAGTTCCTATTTTGTAGTTTTAACCATCACAGTATCTTGAGGTTCAGATGCAGAAAAGGCCACTCTTGATAAAGGGGCGTGACCTCTCTGGCCTCGGCTCCCACGTGTGCGTGAGCATGGTCGCACAATGTGTTGTGCCCGCCCCACGTTGGAGCCCCCGCTGAGACCCTGAACTGCGGTAATTGAGCTCCCACGGCCACCGTTGAGTCCTCCCCGAGTCCTCCCTGAGTCCTTGCTCTTGGAGCTGTGTGGATCAAATCTTAGAGACAGTTCCAGCCCGCACAGAGAGAGCCTGGTGTCTGACCACAGGCAGCAGCTACACCTCAGTACTCTGTTCCCTTAGTGCCGCCAGAGCAGCTTTTCTTCCTTCTTCCTATCATATTCCTCTGCTTAAGATGAAGTCCAGAGTCTTTGACGAAGTCTGGGTAGAGAGGAAAGGAATGTCCTACAGATCGCTGTTTGGACAGCATTGTGTGTGAGGATCTTGCAAGTAGCTTTTAATCCACGGGAAATTTTTCGGCTTCTTTGAGACAAAATGCTTCATGCCCAGGACTTATGCTCTGGTCTCTGAGGCCACACTTGCGAGCTGACTCCTTCCTTCCATCAGAAGTAAGGACCTCGAGCTGTGGGAAAGAGAGCTGAGGTTGAAGAGGAAGATGGCCTTACAGATGGGAAGATGGGGGAGAAATGAAGGGGCAGGGAAATCTTCAGGGAAGAAGCAGAGAAATGAAATTGACAAAAGGTAAAAGAAAAGCAACCATGCCCCAGGACTGAGCAGGCTGGACCATGAGAAACGAATCCATGGGAGTGGAGCCAAGAGGCTCGGAAATGACAGTCAGCTAAGTGAGGAGGAATGGACCAAACAGAAATGGCGGGAGGAAGAGTCCCAAAAGCTGTGCTGTTAAATACTGCCCTGAGACAGGATCTCTCTATGTAGTCCAGCCTGGCCTTGAACTCATGGTGATCCTCCTGGCTCAGCCTCCCAAGTACTGAGATTACAGATGTGCACCATCTGGCTCCAAAAATCTTAAAAGATATCTATATCTATCCATCTATAGATATAGATAGATAGATAGATATATCTCCAGTGTTTTCCTTGAGAAGACAGGAAAAAAGAACTGATAGAGAAATTAAAACAACAAATGAAATAGAGTTTAGAAACCAGAGCCCAATGCTTGCCTTCTCTCTCTCCATTCTCAAGTATGAGATTAAAAGGAAGAAGGAATTTGGCCACAGTTTATAAGAGAAATGAGAGAGAAAACACATTTGGGACAAGTGGAATGAAGTTAAAAGACAGAGCCTTTGAAAATAGGAAATAGAATTTGTAAATTTTTTTTTTGAGATGTAGTGGGGCTAAGCTGCAATCTAAGATTTTGCAAACAAGAGACACACTTAGTTTCCCAGTGATTCAGTAGTTAAGACATTCTTCTGAATTATAATAATGTGTATAAAGTGCATATTGAAATCTGGGCCCAACCTACCTGGGTTAGCGCACATCTTACAATAAGGAAAGAAACACGAACAGCCCTGAGGATGAGAATTAGATCAGGAGGAGGATGTATAAGGACACACATATGAATGATTTGGGATGCATTTCAGCCGGAAATTGCACAAAATCAAAATATGCTACATAACTTTCCATCTTACTCCTAGATTATTCTACAGACATCTCTCCAGGTCAGTACCTTTACCAAGGTTTTTAAAAATAAGATTCTGGGTCTTTTTCGGATCTTAACTTTATTAACATAGAATATTATCAAAAGTTCAAATTGTCATACAATTAGATTTAAAGTTGTTTTTGGTAATACTACAGATCAAGCCCCAGTGTGCATTTCCACTGAGCTTTATCCCTTGACCTTTTCTTAAGACAGGGCCTCACTAAGTTGCCCAAGTGGGGCTCAAACCTGAGATTCTCCTACCTCAGCCTCCAATTACAGGCGGCTGGGATTACAGGTGTATATCACTGAGTCTGGTTTAGAGATGTTTCTGTTACAAAAATGGATCTGCTTTCTCTTGCATAATGAAATCTGTGGCATTAGGAGATAGCATTTCAAGAGCAGGTAGAGATCTGTATGGAAAGTCTTCCCTCTCTTCTTCCAAACTGAACTTGCAAAAAGCTAAGGAGAGAGAGAGAGAGAGAGAGACAGACAGACAGGAATCTTGAGGAGAACTGTTTCCACAGCATACAGAAGCTACAGCAGCTGTGTGGTGAAGAAGTTGGAAGTGCGCAGTCCGCAGTGGGTTAGGGGCTCCTCTCTCCCCTGCCCCTCAGGAGGCTCAGCACACTGTGCCGGGACCTTAGGCAACACAAGGCTTCGACGGCCACCTACCGTCCTCCTAGTGGACATGGGGTACACCTTTCTCCTACAATGACCATGGTCAGTGGAGGCCTTGTGTTGCATAAGGTCTTAACATTCCGGAAAAAAAACTAGAACGCTCCCCTTATAAAGATAGACATGTTTATTATAAAAGTGCCATGTTCACATCTGTGATATACTAGGCCTCACATGTGTGCAGTAGAGATACGGGATTAGTAAAGCTTATCTCAACTCAACTTTATAATTCAGTCAAAATCAACTGAGATTCACTAATGAACTTCAGGGGAGAAACTTTTCCCTTTGTTTAATTCAAATGATATTTTCTGAGCATGAATTTTATTATTTTGTGACTGTATGGGGTAATATCACTTCATTATAAATAAACAAAAACAGATTGTGGGTGTTTTGAAACTATTTAAAAGAATATTTTTGAACTATTTTGTTGTGTTATAATCTCAATTAATCATGATTATAAAGCTGAAAAAATAGGAGTCACTTTTTAATTGTTCTTGTAGGCATAAATTGTCTTAAATTTACAGAAACTTTGGTTTTCTGGACACATACATGTTTGTGTGGGGAAGATGCCATGATGTGTTCATCACCCGACAAGGAGTTCATAAACAGAAGCAAAAATTATGCCCCATGCTTCTGTTTGTGAACCCATTGTTTGAGAACAGAAGCATTTGTGAGCCGAGGTACCATGGTACAAAATACTGAGGTCAAATTCAATGGTTAGGTTTAATGTTGACCTGATAGGGAAATGTGATTCGATTCTCATCCAGTTCAGTTTGTGATCAGAATTGTAGAGAGAATTGAGTTCATGAACCTCTGTATCCGTACAGTCTATACACACACAGTGGTACTTCACTTAATCTAAGTATTGTGCTAAGTACTGCAAGGTAGTGAAGCCTACTGTTGACTTAACCACTTTTATGCCAAATTAATAACTATAAAGTACAAATTATTTTCAGACAAATTGCCAGTGGTACATATTAAATGATACAACATTTTAAATTAATCAACTGTAGCGCATAGGTGATAGTAAATCATCTAATGGGTTACTTTTTATTAGAATTCTTGGGAAGAGTTTATGCCATTATTTCCTCTCCGATCCCCAAACTCCCGAGCAAGTTAAGCTTTGCAAACACCCTTTTGAATAATACACTCTTAATTCTACTTTTCCAATTTGATACTTTCGGTATTTGTTATATTTTCAGTATCAGCCATCTGTAAACTTCTAAATATTTGGTTAATCACAACACAATTCTTACCTGGAGTATCAAGGTGTCATCACAAATTAGAAAAACAATCGGGCCGGGGATTTAGCTCAGTGGTTCCGCCGCCTGCCTCGCAAGCGGAAGGACCCGAGTTCGATCCCTGGTACCAAAAAAAAAAAAAAAAAGAAAAACAATCTTACTCTCTGGAGGAAAGCATTCACTGACAATATATTTCTGTGTATCAGTAAGAAGTTTCATAAGATGTTCCTGTATTTCTAAAATTTTATGAACATTTAAAATTTTACAGCCCTGGAATATTAAATATAATGAGTTTATGCAATGAGTTAATTTTAAGAAAAATATCTGGAGTATAGTACGTAATTAATATATATCATAATTTAAATTATTTCTCTTAGAAATAAATTTTTATTGAAGAGCATAGGCATGATGGATGTGAACATTCCCTTTGGAAGTATAGTGAACTACGCTGAGATCTCTTATGGTAACCTTATAAATTAAGGCAGGTCTATCAGGTGACCACATATGCATATGTCATAATAAGGCTGGCCATATTACAGAATTCCTTTTGCAGTGTTTTGGATAATGCCTGTCATACTTGGTCTACCCAAGGTGTACGACACACACACACACACACACACAGAAATAAACATACAAACATACAAAGGCTTTTATAAATAAGTGAAACAGATTAATCCAAGAACAGCAATATATGATGACAGTTTCTGTTGTGAACAATGACCTATTTGTCTTTAGGAATTTGAAGAAACAATGTGTTAGAACAAGTGTGTACACAATTCAGAACATCCAAGAGATCTGAGATAGTTATAAAGCTAAGAATAGCTTTGTTGAATGTTTAATGCCCTAATGTAACTGCCATGGAAGAAATAAAATGAACCATCACCAAATTGCTACTTTATCGCAGTATGGCACAATCAGGCTGCATCTGTAGACAGCCAAGGGAAGCAGCAACAGCACTGGCTGGTTTGGAGCACCTGTTATAAAGGTCTATATTCCTGTTCATTAATTCCAGCAATGTTGACCTATAGCCACGTTCTTAAAACTTGGTTCAGTCTAACTCAACAGAGTAAAGATTTCTTCATTCTTAAAATATGGTTCAGTCTAACTCAGCAGAGTAAAGATTTCTTCAAATGCCTTTAAAATTTTTTGTGAGTTTGGAAGGGATGTTTAATGATTAACAAAAGTGCATAGTTTTAAGATAGACAAGGCGATCGTATGAGTAAAAGTTAATATTTATAATCATCTGGCTAAATATATGATCGCAGAATACTTTCTCCTACTGAACAGACTGAAAATTGATGGAGACATCCTCCTCTGACCATCCTTGAATTCTCTTTTCAATTGTAAGACTGCAGTAGATCTTTCCTACCTGAAAATACAGTCTGGAGGCCCATGGACACTCATCCCACAAAGACAAAAATTGCATATAATTTTGTGTCCATTTTTATTAACATCAAAATTAAGGAGTTTACTCTTTGATCAGAGGTTATCTGAGCAAAGAATAAGCTCACTAGATTTAGCTTCATTATTCTAACACAGATAAGGAAAAAAAGCAAAGAAAGAAAAACAAAAATCTCACTTCTTTAGTGTGCTGAAAGATGAACTAAACTATGGTTTGCTTTTGATCATAGAAAGGTCTGGATTGTACGCAGCAGGAACCGAAATCAGACTCAAAAGCAACCTTTTCCTAGGTGGAGCAGTCTCCAAGTTTCCTCTGCTGTCTCCAAAGCTCATTGCTCCACAAACATCTTAGCCGCCGGATTTTCCTGCTCATTCAATCTCTCTTCTTAGAGTCCTGAAGGAAGTAACGTCTCTCCGCCTAAGTTAGAAGAGGTGTTCAATTTGGCCTAAAGAATTTTTACCTGGTAGTGCTGAGTGGCACAGACATGGACAAAATCACACTGTGAGGGCACTGAGGCAGCCTCAGACCCACATGGGTAACCACGCAGGTGGCAGTTACTTTGTGTGGGGAGCATCTAAGTAGATCGCATAGTTTTATTTTTAATGCAGAGTTGGGGAAAGTTCGCTTTGTGAAAAATAGAGCAGACATCTTTTTTTTTCTGCAAAGACAGAATTTAGATGGAAAAAAGTAAAGAGGAGCTGTACACACTGTCTGGATAACCGGAACTCCAACCCGGGGCCCGGTGCGCAAGGGACAAAGGGCTTTCTCAGGTGGGCTGTGCAGAAGCACACCTGGCATGGTGATGGCAGTGAGGTCAGAGTTACAAGCTTCTCCCCCTGGCAGTGGACTTCGATGCTACCAGAAACTGCAGCTGGGCCCAAGTGCAAGACCCTTTTCTGACAATCTGTCTGCCTTCATTTTACTTTCCTAAGAAAAAGTTGTGTCCATGTGGATGAAGCTAGAGTGCAGGGCTTATCACATTCATGTTCCCGGAAGTGGAAGTCATCTGATGTAATCATGAAACTGCATAATCTGGCAAGCTCAGTTCATGGGAACTGGTCACCACTGCAGTGGCACAGATCCTAGGTAGCAAGAGCAGGGGATGCTCAGTGGTTCAAACTAAAGCCCACTTAATCTTTGCTTTGGGCCATGCAGTGCTAGCAAACTTTATTTTAAATAGAAATGCCTAGAAGGAAGCACTTCCCTTTCCATAAGGGTTTTTAGGCCACTCATCAAAGGTTATTTTTTGAGCCAGTAAGAATAGCAGGAGTAAGAGGTAGACTGGTTCTCTGGATAAACCTAGGCTGATTGCTGAGCTCATTAGAATGTTGAGATCTAAGGGAAGTGGCGTGGACATCTCTGCTGAGCATGGCAGAGCTGAGTTAGGGACATCCCACAGGCAGTGAGTGCTGCTTCTTATACAAAATGTGCACAGTGATGTGTGTGTCCACACGCACTGCACACCTGCTTCCAACTGACCGCTGACCACTTCAGCCTTGTCAGTTAAGCAACTGTATAGGCAACTTAGATTTTTGGTTTTGAGCATCAAGTTGAGCAAAACTGAGCAAGTGGCCAGCCTCCTGTTGGCTGCTGGCTGGTCTGTTCTCTGCCCTTGGCACTTACAGTATCTCTACTGGGATTCATGACCCAAGGAGATTTTGATGGCAGTTGTAATAGCCAATATATGCATGAAAAAGAGAAAGTATCCATAATGATAGGAGCCTTTTTGTCTTCACAAGATATAATCAAGTTTCCCCTACCATCTGTCTCAGGAACAAAACTTTAGGATCAGTGTGATATCCCATCTGCACTTATATGTACAAATGTTTTGAAGGTAACAATAATGTTATCAGAAGATAGTCAAAACTTGTTAAGAATGGGGTAAGGACTTGCAAGAATACAAACATGAAGAATAAACTTGAGTTATTTGTGGGAAAATGGATGTACTTTGAGACTATAATGTTGAGGGAAATAAATCAGGCACATAAGCTTAAATATCACATGAGTTCTCTTACGTGAGAAACCCAAGGTATAAATAAATTAAAGAGTAAAATAAAAACTAGATAATAGGACACAGCAAGACGAATGTTTTGCAAAAGGGAAGGAGACCAAGAATGGAAGGAGTCAGGAGGGAGGACAGGATTAGGGGAAGTAAAAGGAATTAAGATGTGTTCTGTACATATACCAACTCCCCACGAGGAATGTAATCCTTATGCGCCACAAACATGTACTAATAAAAATAAAAATTAAAAAATCCTATTGCTTCATAGAGGTAAAGCGTTAACAGCACCCCCCACTCAAGAATCTCCATTTAATATTTTTAAAAAGCAGAATTAATTTTTAACATGGAAATTATAGGAAAATGCCATATCAAATAATAATTTATTGAGTGAAAAACTTTATATTCATTCCATTATACAACGGATTGTGCTACAAAGTCATTTCAGAGGAATGTTCTCCATTCGACATCGCCTCTCTTGACATGCAGTCGGCCGGCCGGCAGCCTAGGCCCTGAAAGCGCGTGCACGCACGGGCGAGACAACAGCGGGCTATTTCAGCTAAGAGCTGCAGTGATTTTCCGCGCATTGTGCTGGGAATCTCCTCAGCGCTGGGGAGCTTGTCAACGCAGACCGCATGCGCGTGTTTATTGGTTATTTGCTTACAAAGACAACAAGGTAGAGTATGAAAATATATAAGCAGCATTCGTGTAATACAGAATTCCTGAGACTAGTGTGTGCTGTAAATCTTTGAGAAGTAATTTGTATTCATAGGAAAACCAAGATATAAAATATTTCAACTCCATCAGAGTGCTCAAAAACCAGAGTACGAGGAGCAGGTGCCAGCATTTTACTGTCAACAAGGCTGAAGACGTAGCTAGTTCTACCGCACTGTTTCACAAAAGAAACATTTCAGGTAATTTTCTGTTTACTATTTTTCATGTCTGTTGCAGAAATAACAGGGAAGGCATTTTCTAAATGAAGACATTACAATTCTTATTAAAATGTCTTTTTTTCATATCAATCAATATGATTTTATACCCTGATGGGGCTATATAAAAACATGGAAAGAGAAGAATTCTGAGGGACACAGCTATGATTCTATTTTGCCCTCCTGTAAGACAAATGTCATTGTCTTGCAGTCTTAATTTGCAAAACAAGTAACTTTCAGGTAAACTGGGAGAGTGTTTGTACTCAGGCATGTATACACATCTAATTAACAAAGAAAAGTAAACATGGATGCTCTGAAACTCTGTCGTGCAGGCACTGGAATTAGTACACCTGAACCTAAGAGTCCTACATGGCAAAAAACGATGAGGAAATTTAGATTCAGAAGCCTTCCCACTGCTCAGCTGACTGCTGACCACTCCAGCCTTGTCAGTTAAGCAACTGCATAAGCAACTTAGATTTTCAGTTTTGAGCATCAAGTTGAGCAAAACTGAGCAAGTGGCCAGCCTCCTCCTCAGGATCAGAGGGCAAAGAGAGAAGTGAATATTCTTGACAAAAACAAGGACACAATTATAATGGAGCCACTTTTCCCTGGAGCAAAGGAAGGAAAGGTCAGCAAACATTTTTGGTGCTAGAATTATAAAGTAAGTGAAATTTATAATTTCCCTACTAGAGAAATTCTGGAATTTACAGGAAGTAGCTTTCTTTCTGTTGTGCCTAATTGGGTCTTTCAAATTTTGGAAATAACTGTGCTTTACTTCATTGGGCAAAAATTAATTGGATAAGTAATAAAAATCATGATGTGTGTATGTGTATGTGTGTGTGATTTCTTGCTTCATTTCCAGGAGAGGAAAACTTGGATTTCCTTGTTTTGCAAGGAAAAGAGTCTTGATTTTTACCTTACATTCCCTTACTTCAACTTTGCTTTCCTTCCTATCTGTTCCTGGACTTTGTCTAGTTGAATTCCCCATCAATCTGTGGTCAGACAGAGTTGACATCAAAATAGGAATTTCACAATAAAGCAAAATTATGTCTTCACAATTAATCTGAATTTGTTTCCAGGCAGTTAAAAAATAAATCAATCTATAATGAAGCAATAATAGGAACCTCCCTTCAGTGATGAAAAAGAAAGTAGATTCAAGTATTTTTTTTTACAAATCACAGATCTATCAACATGCATGGTTTTCATTAGCTCATTGTTGAGATAGCACATTGTAGAAAAAGCATAAATGTTATAGACAATCTGGCTTCAGGTTTCCTGAATAAACATATTGCAATAGCATACTGTGTAACTGGTCTCAGAGTTGCATAAACTCAATCTTGCATTCCAAATGGTCAAGGTGCAAAGAAACAAGGAAAATCAACATATTTACAGCATTTCAAGATAACATTCTGTGAAATTTGTAATAATCCAGAGAGGGAAAAACTAAATAGTTGATAAAATAGCTTTCTGCAGTAAAGTATGGATTAGTCATGTTCTAAATGATATGAGTATCAGTCAAACCTCATTCATGTTTTCTATGTATAAAAATATGCAGTGCATCTGGCTTTGCCAGTAAGAAAACAGACTTCCCCATAGCTGATGGAATACAATACAATTTCGAGGAATGGTATTCTTTTTGGAATCTTAGATTTTTGGTTTGACTATGAAAGGTGGTGTGCAACTCTTTAACTGCATAGTCGGTGTAAAGCAGCATAAATTTGTTGTGGCAAAGATCCATACTCTCAGGAGACAAGGGCAGTTCCTAGCAACCTAAAAGCAGAAAGGACACGGAATTCCAGCAGCAAAGGCAGTAACTGATTTAAGTCATTTGTTGCAAGCATCTCAACTCAGCGGAAGGTTCCCAAGTCAGATTAGCATGTGACCACAGGACACTTTAAGTCATGCCTGGCTGTCAGCATTTCCATGCAAATCTATCTCTAGAAACCTCATCGCCACCCTTTCTATTATGCTGCCTCTGATCTGCAATGTCAGGTTAAGCTGCCTTTAAGTTCAGCTTCTCCCTCCCTAGAAATACGACCATTCCAAATCCCAGTGATTGCTGTGATGCCTTTCCAGGGAGCCTATTATATGCATATTTTGACCAGCACACCTTCCTCCTTGGTCCCCTCTCCAGCTGAGGTTGCCACTTCCCTCACACTAAGGGTACCTCCCCTACTGGTAGCAGACATCAACTAAGGCCATTCATGGTGAACAGGCTGACCACTTTTTCTCCGTTGTTGTTGTAAATGTTCCAGTTCGGCCTCATACATCATTTCTTGGACTAAGTACTTCTCCCGCCGTATTCGTTCATGTAGGCCTTTGGGTACATCTGGAATCAGATACGCGATGAAAGACTTAATCCCAAAAACAAGGTGCTGCAAAGTAAGAGCAGAAAGCACAATTTTCAAGATTCTGAAATAGTAATTATAAAATATAGCAATCATGAACAAGGGTGCACTTCCCTTAAAAGCAAGCATCAGAGTTTAATGTGCAGCATAGGGAATATTCATAGTTTCAAAAACTATATGGGGAATATTACTACTGCCATCTACCATCTTAGTGTTAAAAGAAAATAATGAATTTTTGCTGTCATATGTTGATATCACTTTATAACACCTGAAACAAATCTCAAATCCTCGTCTATAGTATTATACATTATGGAATGGTATTATGCTTAGTATTATGACGTGCATTATGATACACAAATGAGACATCACATGTAGGAAAAAGTCCATGTCTAGTCTAGTAGATCATAATACACACCCTGCAAATCTCAGAGAACCCAGCCTGCCTGTGATGCTGGCCTGAGACCCAACTTCTTTTTTTTTTAAATTAATTTAATTGGTACATTTTAGGTATACAATATAATGACGTTCATCATGGGAAATTTGCACCATTACATAGTCTCTCTTGGTTCTTATTTTTCACCCTTGCCCAGCCCTCCCTTCAACCCCTCCATCCTTCCCTATTTACAAAGACTTTGTT